TCTTTCATTTGATTCAATTAGCATTGTTAAATTCATTAGGCTTTCATTTGAGTTAAAAACCTTTGTTTGAATGTGTTTAACTTTCATTTGATTCAATTAGCTTTGTTTGAATGTGTTTGACTTTCAAATTATTCAATTAGCTTTGTTAAATGCATTAGACTTTAACTTGTTTCAAAAAGATTTATTTTAATGTGTTTGGCTTTCATTAGATTAAATTAGTGTTGTTTTAATGTGTTTAACTTTCATTTGATTCAATTAGCTTTATATAATGCATTTGACTCTCATTTGATTTATATAGCTTCGTTGAATGCATTTGACATTCATTTTATTCAAAAAGCTTTGTTTGAGTGTGTTGACTTTCATTTGATTTAATTAGCTTTGTTTGAAAGTGTTTGACTTAAATTTGATTCAAAAAGCTTTGTTTGAATGTGTTTGACTTTCATTTGATTCAATTAGCTTTGTAGAATGCATTTGTCTTACATTTGATTAAATTAGCATTATTGAATGCATTAGGATTTCATTTGATTCATAAGCTTTGAATGTTTTTGACTTTCATTTGATTCAATTAGCTTTGTAGAATGCATTTGACTTTCATTTGTTTCAATTAGTTTTGTTGAATGCATTTGACTTTCATTTGATTCAAAACGCTTTGTTTGAATATGTTTGACTTTCATTTGATTCAATTAGCTTTGTAGAATGCATTTAACTTTCATTTCATTCAATTAGCTTTGTTGAATGCATTAGACTTTCATTTGATTCAAAAAGCTTTGTTTGAATGTGTTTAAATTTCATTTGATTCAATTAGTTTATTTTGAATGTGTTTGATTTTCATTTAATTAAATTAGCTTTGTTGAATGCATTAGACTTTAACTTGCTTCAAAAAGATTTATTTGAATGTGTTTGGCTTTCATTGGATTAAATTAGTGTTGTTTGTATGTTTTTAACTTTCATTTGATTCAATTAGCTTTGTAGAATGCATTTGACTTTCATTTGATTCATTTAGCTTTGTTGAATGCATTTGACATTCATTTTATTCAAAAAAGCTTTGTTTGAGTGTGTTGACTTTCATTTGATTTAATTAGCTTTGTTTGAATGTGTTTGACATAAATTGGATTCAAAAAGCTTTGTTTGAATGTGTTTGACTTTCATTTGATATAATTAGCTTTCATTGAATGGGTTTTGATTAGGGGATTTTGCTCCCACCAATCGGAATGCGCCACGTGGGCCAATCAGGTCCTGCCAAGTGTCCCCCAGTTGGACATCTCAGGGCTTGCCACGTGGCACACGCTTATTCGTCCACCCTGGACTTATTATGTCATGACACGTGGCATACTCCATGCCTAATGGAGAAGCCTGTCACCTAGGCCCAACTTCCGAGGGAAGCCCAATCAGCCCAAGGTTAACCTAAACCTAGATTGGCACGTTTCCCGAGGTTATAAATACCTCCCTTAATCCTCATTAAGGGAGATTACGCGAACAACGCAGATTACACACATTAAACACTCTCACCTAGAGAGACCCAATCACTTTAATTTCCGCATTAATTACTCCTTAATCAAGTACTAACTTGACCGTCAGAGGCGGATCTCCAAACATCCGGAGCATCCGTTTGTTTTGCAGGTACAGGCGTCCGGTTCCAGTCTCGGAATTGTAACTCTCCCGCAGGACATCAGAAAACCCTGAAACATTTTGGCGCCGTCTGTGGGGAGAGTACTTCTGAGATGGCACCCACGTTTGTACCGGCTCCTGAAGAGAGACGTCCCCTGGACGATCCTCTAGTTCAGTCGGACCACGATACTGAGAATGAATTTGAAGTTGAAGCTCACACAGCTTCAGACGGGACCCTAAGGGCCCGACGTACCTGTCATACCGAAAGGAGGGAACGGGAACATCTTCAAACTGGAAGCGAGCCAGCAGGCGCACCGCCTGTTCGGCAGCAGCCGACTGATGGGTCTGCTCCCATCACAAGGAACGAACTCATGACCTTCATGAGGGACTTCAAGGGAGAAATTCAAGAGTTGATCAACAAGAAGCCGCCTGCTCTGGACAAGGAGCAGTCGGCTAAGAAACCCTCCACTTCACGGAAGAGGAAGCCAGTTCAAGGGCGAGAGGCGACCCCTCATCCTAAATCTAGGAAGTGGGAGCCACCTGCCCTTGATTTCACAAAATACCGTTTTCCTACTCCAGGAAATAGGAAACATGTTCGTCATATTCAGGTGGACGGGTCGAGGAAAACATACACAGACGCTCGGCTACTGCTAGAGCAGAAGAAGAGTGACCGATTGTCAGAGTCGGCCTCTACTTCATACTTCCAAGACAGTCTGCGAAATACCTCGATGAGGCATACTCAGTCGTATCATGAGAGTCAGTCAGGCGGCACCTCCCGTCAGTCCGGCTTTCATAGCGACCAGGCGGTACCAAACTTACCGTTTGTACCGCAACAACAATATTTTTTACAGCCACCTCCGTTTGGTGGACATGCAGCAAAAAATGTCCAACCTATGGACTGGCAGCTACGGTTGCTTAGACTTGGTGAACAGCCGTCGGCCTTCTCCAAGGAAATTACTGAAGCCGCTCAGCCGGCCAAAGTAAAAAAATGTATTAGTAGGCGCCTATGACGGCACTACTAACCCAGAAGACCATCTGATGGCATTCACCAACCTGATGTACCTTCAAGGGTTGGATGATCCCACTTGGTGCAAGTGTTTCCCAGCGACTCTCAAAGGAATCGCACAACAATGGTTCGACAACCTGCCGACTGGTTGTGTAAATAACTTCAAGACGCTTGCTTACTTATTCACCTCCAACTTCGCCATGAACATCCCTGCGAAGAAGACGACCCTTGATTTAGGAACAATTCAGCAGGGCGAGAAGGAGGGGCTTCGTTCTTACATCAGGCGGTGATGAGTGACATTTATGTTACTCTTAGGGGTAGTGTATTGGTCTCTTTTATCCTGTTTTTCTTAGGTTTTTCTACCTCTTTTCTCCTCTTATGGCTTCCTTTTTTTTTATGGATGAAAAGTATGCTTATTTGCGCTTGTTTTGATAATCTTTATGCATAATTTTATCATCTCCATGCTCTCATGATCTTTGCTATCTTTTGCAGGTTCCATGACGGTCCTAAGCACGGTAGGAGGCCCCTTGGCCAAGTATGGAGGCATGGACAAAGACAAGAGGAGCAAAAGGGAAGGAGAGGAAGCAAGAAGAGGAAATTCAAGAGGAGGTGTGGCCGAACCTCTAAGAGGTTCGGTCGAACCAAGGTGTGGTCAAACTTTTGAAAAGTTCGACCGAACCTCCAAGGCAGTTTCAACCAAGTTTTCAGCATGTTTACAGGAGGGGTCGAACCAGGAAAGTTCGACCAAACAAGGATCAGGGAGGTTCGACCGAACCTACCCTGAGTTCGGCCGAACCTACCCTGAGTCCGACCGAACCTACCCAGAGTTTGGTCGGACCTTTTCCCGTTTCAGCTGACTTTTTTGCGGAGCTTCCTAAGCAATTTTGTAAGGGGTATAAATAGTTTTTTTTTGCTCATTAAAGAAAATGATTTTTTTTTCAGTTTAGAATAGATTTTAGGTTAGTTTTAGGTTTTAGAGAGAGAAACTCTCAAAATTTTAGAGAGAGAAAGTGAGGAGCACAATGGTTTTCATGGTTTTTGGATAATCAAATGAGGAATTTGAAGATCTCCACCTTTTATCAATGAGCATTTCTTACTTTCTCTTCTCTTATTGCTTTATTTAGTTGCTTTCATTATGCTTGAGTAGTTTCCCTTCTACTAGGTGTTGAGTGAGGCTTTGTAATGATTATTTGAGTTATTTGAGATAAATTTGATGATAATTGTGTGATTAAATTGATTGAATTGATGTAGGCATGTTGTTTGTTTTAGATTGGATTGATCTCCCATGATAGCACACTTAATTGCATATTGGTTTTAGTTTGACAAGGGATTGTGAATTAGAATTGATATATTTGATTGCATTTTGGGTAATTTTCTTCTATGCACCTAGTCAATGAGGGATCTAGGCTAGGAATTTGAGAGATTACTTTTGAGTGTAGTTAATTCTCATTATAATTCTTTCTTTGCATGATTGATTATCAAATGGATTCTCATTAGCTTATTAATTGTTCTAAGTGGATCTTTTCCCCTAGTAGACTTTATCATACCTTATTCTTTATATGTGTTTTAGTGTAGTTGTAGTGTCCTTTATCCGTAAATCGACTTCGGCATAGCTTAGGCATTAGATTAAGAACAATCTAGCATTACCGTTCCTTGTGGTTCGACTCCGAACTTACCACTAGACTTGTTTAGGGGTTAGTTTTAGGATTTATAAATTTATTTTATAGAGTGTGGAGTGTGCGACCGTTCTAACGCCCATCAAAATGGCGTCGTTGCCGGGGAACGATGCCAATGCTTGATTGTTTTTTATTGCTTGAGTCTAGGTCTTTGTGTATACTTTTTTTTATTTGTTTATTTATTTTTTGTTTGTTTGATTGTTTTTGTTAAAAAAAATTAAAAAATGCCATGTTTCTCATTTCCTCAATATGATGATGAGCCTTTTTGTGATTATTTCAATAGACTTGAGGGACTTGTAGATCGTAATTCTTATAGTCTTTGGGAGGCTTCTGAGATTTGTTATTTTGGTTTGAATAAGCAAACTAGGGATATTGTTGAAAGCATGTATAATGGTGAATTTAAAGCATTATCAACTGATGATGCTTGGGATTTTTATGTATGGTTTGCTAGGGATGTTTACAATAAGGGTAATCATGTTTCTAATATTGATGTGCAATGTGTCGATTCTTCTAATGTTAGCATGCATTCCCATGATTTGTCACATGATCTCATTAGTGAACCTAGAACAAATGATTTCAACTCTATTTCCCCTATTGTTCATGATGATGAGGTGCATTCCAATGTTGATGAGCATGGTGTGTTTCATTATTCTTCATTATTTAGCATGCCTTCTTGTGATGTACCTTTTTCTCCCAATAATGAATCTTATATGCTTGATTGTGCCCCCACTCCCCGTGATGATGATTATACTCATCCTTCTAAAGTTGATGCTTACAATCTTGGTTGTGATCCTTCTCCCCTTGTTAACCCTCAATTTTCTTCATCTTGTGAGTGTCCGATTGATTATTTAGAATCCCTTATTAGGTGTGTTGAGCTTGATTCTACTTTTGGGCCAAGTAAGGAGTTGTTTTTAAATTCTATGAGAAGTCAATTGGAGATGATGAATAGGAGTGAAGAGCGTATTGAGGAGGTAATAAGGAGAAAGGAAGAGCAAGAAAGCCAATTGTCATCTTTGTTGCATGATCTTGAATCTTTCAAATCCCATGTGTGTATTGAAGATGATGATGATGATGTTTTTGTGCAATCAAAAGATTGTGAGGAAGACAACAATGAGCTTTTGAGTGAAGTAAAGAGAGTTGAGAGTGAATGAAATGATGATTTTATGAATCAAAACCCTCTTTCTTATTTTGACCAAGTGCATGTTTGTGATTCCTCTATTCATGAGTATTTGGACTCATTTGAGATTATGTCCCATTTATTTTGTGAGGTTCAAATGAAAAATAATGACATTTTGAGTGAGTTCATAGAGAATGCTTCATGGGAAAGAGATGAATTTGAGATGAATTTGCATCCATTCATGCATGGTTTTGAGATCTTAGGCTTTCAGATTTCTAAGGGAAATGTTGTTTATCGTCGTGATAGGGAATTGGAAGATGAGGTTGTTTCTCTTGGAGATTGGTTGTTTGAGGGATATGTAGATCACGAGTGTTCTTCTTTTGAGAATTCAATGATTAATTTTCATTCCCTTATTAGTGATGAGAGGCAAGGTGGTGAAAATGAGATCATTTGTGAGACCATTTCTCCTATCCCCCCACGTCATCATATTCCATTTTCAAGAAAATTTGATCATGTTCCCTCCTATCCCATGTCACTCCCTTCTTTTCTCAAAGAGCCTATTGGGGACCCTCTTTCTATTTGTGATCTTCAAGCTCCCCACTCATCGATTATTGAGGAAAAGGGTGATTTTGCCACCAAAAAACATTTTAAGGAGAGTTTGCCTTCCTTTTCTTATTCTTCTTCTTCTTCTTTCTTTGTTGAATTTTCTTTTGATTCTTCTTCTTCTTTTTCTTGGCATCTCTCTCCTCATTTGCGTGCACTATCCTTGTTGCACGTTATCTTCCCGTCATTTTCCTACCTTCTTTCTTATAAAATGTGTAGTAGTGCATTTGATAAGCTCTTACGATCCTTGCAATATTATTTACTAGAGCGGTCAAGCTTGGACCTTAAGCAAGCCTTTCTCGGGAAGTAACCCGTGTTTATTGCTTTCATTTTTTATTTTTTTTAGAATAGTTTTCGGCCTCATGGAAATGTTTGTGTGCTTGGTGCTAGGTACATAACTTAATATACTCTTATACATTGGTTTGGATCAAGAATCGAGGAAGTTTGACTCCACTTTTGCTAGCACATGGAAAACAAGATTCAATTTTATAGGTAGTCAGCTTCAAGAAGGTTTAATTGGGTCATTTGCGGGTACTATACCCACCTAATATCCGGTAATATCCTTCCTTGCTCTTCCTCTAATGATTTGTGACTTGTTAGACATATGTTGGTTGGTTGGATGACTTTCTTTCTTTTCTCCTCCCATGGATTCTTTGGTTTAAAGTTTGAGCATGTTGCCTCATTCAAGCTTGGGGGAGGGTATTCTATCATGTTTGGTGGAATTTTGATTCATATATGCCATGCACATTTGTATATGCATTTCCATTTTCTTTATTTTGAAAATTCCAAAAAGATTTTGTTTCTATCAAGGCAAATTTGCAATGTGTTTTGTTTTGTTCTTACTTTTGACATAATACGCTTGGACTTGTATTCTTGAATGTCTTTATTCCTAAATTATAAAGGTATGCACGGTTTGAGAATGTGTTAGGTTGACTCTAGGATATGATATGCTAAGGTAGTTGTTAAGAACTTTGAGACCATGAAGCCCTAGTTCACTTGCTTGTGGTAAGATGGAGTTGCTCTCTATGGTGGATATGAAATCAAGAGTTAGTTATTGCTATCCCTAGTGAGGTAAATTGTTCAAGCCTTCATCATACTTTGTTGAGCGGCATATTTGGATCCTTGGCTATTGCATTCTCGTATCTAGAACTTGACTTTTAGCTCCCAAGATCGCGACCGTGCCACTTTAGGGGATGACAAAGGAATTTTTCTTTTTATAGGATAGATTTTCTATTTTTGAGTTTAGTTTATATTTGCCCCTCTTGCTAGCCCTTTTGAGCCATATACCTTCTTTTCTCTAGCCACAATACAAGCCTTGAAGCCTTGGTTTCACTTTCTACCTTTAGTTTTGTGAAGCAATTTAGTTTTCGAGCTTGTTTTATTGTTTATGGTGCAAGTTTAGAATTATGAGTTTATTTGCAAAGCAAGTATGTGTTGTATATAAGTTTGTGCATAAAAGCAAATGCATTTTGAGAAAAAGTCGTCCAAAGTTAAAGAGGCAAGGACTTTTAAATGAAAAAAAAAATGTCAAAAAAAAAAGGTAAAAGAAGAATGAAAAGCACAAAAATGATTTTGTTATAGTTGTTTTTTTTTCCCTTTTTTTGTTAGTTTGTTTTAAATAAGCTTGGGGGAAATTTATTTTATGAGCATAGTTGGTACTTTTGTTTTGGATTCGTTTGGATCTTGTGGAAAAAGTTCCACCCGAGCTTCACATGTAGGTTTACCACCAATTTCAAAAGTTTTCCACACCTTTACTCTCCTAGCCTGTGTATTACAACCTTGAAAGTCCTTTTGATCCTAGAGGGTTAAGTCATTTAGTGGTGGCAGGAAATAGGAATCAAGCCTATAGAGCGAGTTTGCATAGCCAAGATGTTGGGTAACCTTCTCATGTTTTGAATTTCTTACTTATTTTCCGGTTCCTTCGTGGAATCATGAGAAGCTAACTTGAAAGTGGATTTGAAACTTGTAGAGAGGTTGTGGTTTGATTAGTTGGAACAAAAGGTGGAATATGTTTCCGTTAGTTCTCTATGCTTAGCATATGCTATGTTTCAATCAACCTTGGACATCTTAGAACGTGCATACCTTTATTTTTTTTTAGAAAGATTGACATTCTTTAGTGCTTGTTCCATTGTAAAAATCCACTTAAGAACGCTTGTAACCTCTCTTTTACTTCAATTTATTTTATCTATTTGTTTATTGCTTTGCCTTGATTTTTGTCAAGAGTTATGGGTTAAACTCTTAGGTTACCCTTACGAGAGCATACTCGTCCTCTAGAGCGATCTATGGGGTTTAAAGTGCTTTATGCATGCGCTAAATGCATTCGTGTTTCCTACGAAAGTGAGTTAGTGTATATTCTTTCTCTTCTAGTTTTATTTTATTTTATTGTTTTTTTTAAAAAAAAAACATATACATCGTTTTCCGTTGTGTTTGTTTTGTTTTGCTCGAGGATGAGCAAAAGTTAAGCTTGGGGGTGTTTGATGAGTGACATTTATGTTACCCTTAGGGGTAGTGTATTGGTCTCTTTTATCCTGTTTTGCTTAGGTTTTTCTACCTCTTTTCTCCTCTTATGGCTTCCTTTTTTTTATGGATGAAAAGTATGCTTATTTGCGCTTGTTTTGATAATCTTTATGCATAATTTTATCATCCCCATGCTCTCGTGATCTTTGCTATCTTTTGCAGGTTCCATGACGGTCCTAAGCACGGTAGGAGGCCCCTTGGCCAAGTATGGAGGCATGGACAAAGACAAGAGGAGCAAAAGGGAAGGAGAGGAAGCAAGAAGAGGAAGTGTAAGAGGAGGTGTGGCCGAACCTCTAAGAGGTTCGGTCGAACCAAGGTGTGGTCAAACTTTTGAAAAGTTCGACTGAACCTCCAAGGCAGTTTCAACCAAGTTTTCAGCATGTTTACAGGAGGGGTCGAACCAGGAAAGTTCGACCAAACAAGGATCAGGGAGGTTCGACCGAACCTACCCTGATTTCGGCCGAACCTACCCTGAGTCCGACCGAACCTACCCAGAGTTCGGTCGGACCTTTTCCCGTTTCAGCTGACTTTTTGCGGAGCTTCCTAAGCAATTTTGTAAGGGGTATAAATAGTTTTTTTTGCTCATTAAAGAAAAAGATTTTTTTTTCAGTTTAGAATAGATTTTAGGTTAGTTTTAGGTTTTAGAGAGAGAAACTATCAAAATTTTAGAGAGAGAAAGTGAGGAGCACAATGGTTTTCATGGATTTTGGATAATCAAATGAGAAATTTGAAGATCTCCACCTTATATCAATGAGCATTTCTTACTTTTTCTTCTCTTATTGCTTTATTTAGTTGCTTTCATTATGCTTGAGTAGTTTCCCTTCTACTAGGTGTTGAGTGAGGCTTTGTAATGATTATTTAAGTTATTTGAGATAAATTTGATGATAATTGTGTGATTAAATTGATTAAATTGATGTTGGCATGTTGTTTGTTTTAGATTGGATTGATCTCCCATGATAGCACACTTAATTGCATATTGGTTTTAGTTTGACAAGGGATTGTGAATTAGAATTGATATATTTGATTGCATTTTGGGTAATTTTCTTCTATGCACCTAGTCAATGAGGGATCTAGGCTAGGAATTTGAGAGATTACTTTTGAGTGTAGTTAATTCTCATTATAATTCTTTCTTTGCATGATTGATTATCAAATGGATTCTCATTAGCTTATTAATTGTTCTAAGTGGATCTTTTCCCCTAGTAGACTTTATCATACCTTGTTCTTTATATGTGTTTTAGTGTAGTTGTAGTGTCCTTTATCCGTAAATCGACTTCGGCATAGCTTAGGCATTAGATTAAGAACAATCTAGCATTACCGTTCCTTGTGGTTCGACTCCGAACTTACCACTAGACTTGTTTAGGGGTTAGTTTTAGGATTTATAAATTTATTTGATTGAGTGTGGAATGTGCGACCGTTCTAACGCCCATCAGGCGGTTTAACCTGATGAGAATACAGATTCAAGGGTTACCGGATGAAGTAGCCTATACTGACTTTTTCAGAGGTCTCAAAGACGGGTCGACCTTCAAATTTGATTTGGTCCGAAAGAGGGTGTCGACTCTTCAAGAGGCCTTGATTGAAGCGGAAGCCTATATACAGGCGACTGATCTTTGTAGTACGGTAAAACAGTCAGACGGGAGAAGGTCCGACAAAAGAGAAGGACGACAGAAACAGTCGTCAAACAAAGACGAGAAGAGAAAAGAGGTCTGGGCGGCTGATTCCTCTAAACAGCCGGCCTAGAAGAAGAAAAAAGAATTCAAACCATACTCCCCAAAGTATGCGTTTAACAAGGATAGCCAATTTATCCTAAAGGAAATCAAGGGACGGATCTCAATTGAGAAGCCGATCCCCATGAAGGGTTCTGCAAACAATCGGAACAAGAAAAATTATGTGAGTATCATGAAGATGTTGGTCATCACACCAATGAATGCATCAGTCTCATGCGCTATCTGGACCGCCAGGCTGAGCAAGGTGATCTTGACACTTATGTCAAGAAATCTACGGGGAACACTTCCTCGAAAAAGCAGTCGGCCAAAAAGAATCAACAGGCCGACAGCTCCGATACAGATGATGCAGTCGTCTACACCATTGCAGGCGGCTTCTCAGGAGGCGGCCCCACTATTAGGGGCAAGAAAGACAATATCAGACGGTTAGATGTAAATTCCGTTCACCAAGAACGGCCCTCCAAATATTCATTTCCTGAGATTGTCATCACTGAAGAAGATCTAGGAGGGGTAAGAGGGCCGCATGACGACCCTATTGTTATTGAATGTAAAGTGGCTAACCAGAGAGTTGGCCGAATCCTCATA